GGTCTTTCAGCAGCCTTCTGTGTAGTTCAGCCCTGACTAATTATGCTACCTCTATGAATGAAGTAGGAGTAGTGCACTGTTTTATCCTGTACAGGTCCGAATGTTAAGCTTGTAAGGGCTGATTCGGCTGTGGGCCCCAGTGACGGGGTCCTCCAGAACTAAACTGCGTATACTCTGAAATGAATTTTCGTTTCCAGTTCAGATGATCAGATGATGTTTCTACTGTTTTGAAGCGCGGTTGCTGAAATGTAGTCCCTTGTCGTTAAGGGATCCCGTCGGTGTGACCATTGTTCGGTATTACTGGTGAGAAGGGTTGTGATGGCTACCGTACCGAAGAATACCAATATTGGACTATACTTAATCCTGTGCTTGAATGGGCAGCGAGTCTTTTGGACTGATAGTTGGATAGATGGATTCCGAAAATATGGATTAAGGATGCCGCGCAGAATATGGCGACTGCTTAGTTTGTCGGTAAGTCGGATGGTAATAGTGAGAAGTTAGTAATTAGTGAATAGCAGTTACTGACTAACTGTTCATCTGTTCATCATCATTTCTACGTATTACGGAACGCGAGGTGTCGGACGACAACGTAGCTCCCATAGAAACAATCGAACAAATTTTGATAAAAATAATTATAACTACGCTGTTTCGACACAGAGTTTTGGTTGGTTACTTAAACCTACCGTTTATACCAACTACGTTAATAACATATAGCACTTACAGCCATGGTCTATGTGGGCCCATTATGAAGCCAACGTGATATATTCAGGCCTGTTTCAGTTTTCACTCGGAAGTGAATTCGTTAACATTGGCGGATTTCCCTTGCTTGCTAGCAAATTTTCTAGGGAAATTACTATTTGGGGGGAAATAAAACAATTAACATAAGCCTATGATTTGCCTGAGTTTTCCAGCCAAATCTCTGATCCACATTTGGCCCGCTGCTGTTCCTAATCTCTGTGCATTATTGGTGGACACATTTAATGTCTAATGTCTAATCACTCAAAAAGTCATTGGCAGACAAAATTAAAAATATTTTAAAGGCTGTGATGGAAACTGATCAACAAAAGTGTTGTACAACTCGTGTGAAAATCAGCTTGTTACCCGAAATAATTAAAAGAACGTTGGTTTGATTTTAACAATGTTTTTGAAACTTTTGGCAAATATCGAGTTGAGAAGACAACAATTGTTGGACATTAACCGCAATAACCGAAATTTAAGATGCAATGCAAATATTTTTCAGATCTATCACCTTTCAAAAACCTCCGTGCAAATTAATTTTAAATAGCGAAAATATTGTTTTTATTTACTTACATTTTGTGTTTTAAATTTTGTGCGTGAATCAGCTGCTTGGCAGCAGTGTTGCAAACTTTTCACAAGTAGTTTTCGAAACCAAAGTTGCCAAAGACGCTAAAAAAGGTCCCAACACAACTTGCTTTGTACAAAAAGTACATTAAATTAAGAGGTAAAAAGAACAAAAACACTTTAAACTAAACTTATATCATTTACACTTCAAACCATATAAAAACAAACCGAAAAGCGCTTGCTTTTAGCCAAGAAAATAATTATTTTTATTCGTACCATGACAACCCTTGGTTTGTTTCTTTCAAATTCCTGCGGATTCTAGAACAGGGGTGGCGGATTTGCATAACATACAACATCATTTTTAAAAAGTCAAATATGTTACTATTAACCAAATCTCTTATGCAACAATGTTTTAAAACATTAAAGAATAATGTAAAAATTTCGTCACAACTACCGCCCAACGATCTCATGCTCATGAGTCTTACGCTTCAAATGTCAGTACACGATCTCTTGCCAGTGGTCCTTACGCCGTAAACGGATTTGTACCTGCTACTTCTTAACTTCAGAAGTTCAACATGTTATAAAAGCTGATGTCACAAAAATTTACATGTAAGTACTCGTAGCCCATTGTTTTTACTATATATTTTGGCGAAAATTCCCAGATGCACCCCTGCAAGCGTTTCAGCCGAATACCTTCCTTGCCATGTTTAAAGCAAGAAGTCATTGAAGGTCTTCAAAGGGGGAACCTTCCTCTAACCACCCTAACTTTACGAATTGCAAACATACGAAGAGACTAAGCATCCGAGAGGAAAACGTCATCAGCGCTCTCATCGTTATTTAAAACCAACTTCAAGATGTTTTTTGATTTACCTATAACGTAAACCAATCGAACATTCCAAATACAACGAGAACCATCTAGTCCATCGCCTCATCGCTCTTCGAACCACTTGGTTCTCGTTTGTTTTTTAGATCTATGGACAGCTCGATGGACTTCAGATTTATAACGGAACTTAAATTATATTTAAAACAATAATAATTTTTCAGAAAGAAGGTAATAATATATTTATGGATGACATAAATGTCGGGACTCTGCTTGAGTTTAAATCATAGGAGCACTAGTTGGTAGTACAGTTCATTATAGCTGTCGCAGGTAACACGGAATGGATCAAAATGTGAGTAGTTTGACTTGCACACACCGGTAGTGCTAATGGACGAAATCGACAAGTCGGTGAGCAAGGAACATTCCAATTTAAGTAGCTTATCACTGAAACGAGTCCACAGCACCAGTTATGACAACTTTAAAGTTGGCTGGTCCAAAAGGCGCAAAAGGATTGTATCCATAAAATGACATGGATTTTCATTTATCTGGTTTGAGCAGCAGCTTATAGGAACCAGTCATATGCATACTACACTTCATCGAAACTTGGAGAAGGAGGAGCTTATGAATCAGAAGGTCATTGTTCACTGAACCGAAAGTTTTGCTAAAGTCAGTAAAAATTACAACAGTTTGAAATTGTAGGAAGATAGTTGTAGTTGACCGACATTTTATGAAACCATGAAGGTTCGCCGATATTAGTGAACGACACTGATGCTGGACTTGAGTAGCCATAGTTGCTAATATCGGACCTACCTAATGAAGGACTCCTTCAAAAATGCATCACAAAGCTGATTTTGGGTTAAACAACTGGTCAGAACTCAAATTTTGGCAATGCAAAGATGTTGGTCTTTAAGAAAAGATAGGGAAATAGAATACAACAGTAAGGGGAGGATCCAATAATAGAAAATAAAGACTTAGGTCAGACAATAACAGTGCGTAAACAGCTGCAGATATTGACCGCAGGGCCAAATTACAAGTTCGAATCCAACCGTGAGAAACTGAAATTTTTCCCTTTTTTAGTCTAGGTGGCATCACTGGAAAAGTTACTCGAGAGAGCGGCAGAACAAATTGTGCCTCTATATATTTCTTACTCTATGGTTTCTACGCAAACTACTCTCATAGTAGGAGCTATAGGAGCATTTTTCGGTATAACCTTGAGCTCTTCCAACCATGCAGTCTTTCTCTCTCTTTAATTGTTGCAAATCTCCGTCCTTTCATAAGTCTCTTAAGTTTTGGGAACAAGAAAAGTTCACATGAGGCAGTTTTAAAAACTATCTGTATAAAACTTTTCCAAAAGACTACTATAGCATATAGCTCAAATAGGAACAATCGGTAAAAAAAAACCCTTCTCATAAGCAGTTTTCAATATAGCCTTGAGCTCTTCCACCGATGCAGTCTCTATCTCTTCAATTGTTGCAAATCTCCGTCACTTCATAAGTCTCTTTAGTTTTGGGAAAAAGAAAAGGTCACATTAGGCCAAATCCGGTGAAAATGATGGCTAAGGCATGGTTATGGTGTTGTTTTTGGCCAACAAATCGATGTTTCTTTTGGTCAAAATTTAACAATTTTGGAACAAACTTCACTGACACACGTGTCATGCCATGTTAGAAATAATTTCATGGCACGAGCTTAGCGATATACCATTCTCATCAGCAACTTCTCTGAAAGTGATTCGACGATTTTCCAATACAATTTTCTTGACTGTTTGAACGTTTTCATAAGTTGTAGACGTGCTTGGGCACGTCACGGTAGAACTCCTTCTTTGCTTAGGTTTCGGGATACAGTTTAACAAGCTAGCAAGAACGGACTCCCCCGTTCCCCCGGGGGGCTGACACACCAATAGCCTTGTAAGCTTTAACTAACTTGGCCAACCAATTAAAAAAATCAGAATTGAAAACTTCGGAAACTAACTTGGTATTTGCAGGATGCAGGTAGATCTAAGCTGCGTGCTCACCGTCCAGCAGTAAATTTTTAAATTTTTTTCTTAAAAAAACCCTTATATTGCTTTTTATACGTGGAAGACCAATTCATGCGTTTTCAGTTCGCGCAATGTTCCGAAACGCGCTTGGTTTTAAATGAGCATTTTTAACCTTTATTGTTAATTGGTGGTCATTAAGCTGATTTGCCGCATTTGGAGCTCCGAGAACCCACACCTCATCTAGGATATGCCAACGCATCTAAAACGCGGTATGTTGGACGTTATTCTTCCCTCGAATGGAAGATGGTTCTTGATGGAAGGACGGAACTTTTTGCGGTACATTCGGAAATCGAATAATCAAACGAAAATGCAATGTCAACTGACCTCCTCTTTAACGATAATTGTTATGCACATCCAACCAGACACCCTAAAGTACAAAATTGAAGTTGCTATCGAGGTCTGAAAAATTGGGTGATCGGATGACCTATTGCAAGGCGCCATAAAAGTAAAAAATTCGACACAGCTTTATTGTAACACCAATTAAACCAGGGATATGCATAATTTCGATTTCAAAAACGCGTTTTCAGTTATAAAGATATCATAAATAAATTAGCTGCCATAGAAATAATCGAAAAATTAATTAATAATCGATATACATTTTGTCGTTTAATAGAATAATATATGTTTTTGTAGCTGTGAGTGTATAAAAACTTGGGTCTGCCGAAGTTGGCTTACTGTTTGATTAATTGGTAAATGTTGAAAATTTTAGCCTTATTTGTTCTGCAAAAAAAACTAAAAACAAATTCGTTTGTTCTTTATTTATAAATGGTTTCATATTCTGATCAATGTATTGTTTTATTCTCTGAAAGGTAAATTGAAAATACCGCAGAATTTAATACTTACGCGCCCAGAACGGTGTAGTACTCCAACGTAAAATGATAATAGCAAATTCTTGGAGGCTCGCCCTCGCGACAAGCGCGGGCACATTCGTCTGGAGCAGATAGTGCAGGATTGCGTCGCAGCTCAGCAGTTGCGCTAGTTGAGAAGTCTAAATGCCGAAACGGAGACTTTGGATTGGGTTCAACCACGGTGCCTGTAATCTTATTAGCTGGATAACGAGCAGATGATGGCAGACTTCCGCGTGAGTTAAGGTACCCGCTGCCTGCGGTCAAGGATGGCTTACTACCAGCAACGCTTGAGGAGGGTATGCCGGTCCCAAGACTGTTACTATTTAGTGGGACGGGGCCAGCATTGCTCGCGCTTATAGAGGGGTGAGTTTGGACAAGTCCATGTGTTGCCGAATAAAAAGGTGAATCGAATGGAGTTGAACTACTGGGAGTGGCAACATGTTGCTGCCAGAAGGATTCCGATTGTTTAAGATCCGGTTGATTTTCTGGATAAAACAAAGAAGAAAGTCGCAAATATAAGTTTGAGAAAAAATATTCGTATAAAATAATTTTTTAAGCTTAAAAAAACTTGGCTTTTATGGCTGTTACCGGCTGTAAAGCATACCTTTTGCAGATGTTAAAGAAGACAACAGGGGTCGAAAAAAAACACACCTTTTTTAGATTTACGAGCGGATTGTTGACTGTACTATCTTGTTGGCTTGTTAAAAAACGTTATATTTTTCAGTAAAATAATTATTTTATTATAATCTATCGAAAAAAAAATAGGTGAATAACCTTATTTAGACTTATAATAATATGGTACCATAAAAACATGTCATTTCCAGAATCAGGTGTGATCTGTCGATTTTAATTTGTAAGCTGGTGTAATTAAACAAAAATAGTTCCAGTTTTTATGTGACTAACATGAATAAATCGAAATCAGATGATAGCAATAGTATAAGGCCTGTTCCGGTTTTCAATCGGAAGTGAATTTGATAACATTTTCGGATTTCATTTTAACATATGAAAATTTCCCTTGCTTGTAAACAAATTTCCTAAGGTAAATTTCCGTTCGAGGGGAAATAAAACAGCTGACTGCCACCCCTGCTCTTAGCAAAAGCCAATGTTTTGTCTAAGCCATAGCGGTGATCAAAATTTGGCCCGCTGCTTCTCCTAATCCATATGCATTATTGGTACACACATTTAACGATTAAAATTAATCCAAAAAGGACTTGGAGCCAAAAATACCAAATTGTATTTTTAAGGCAGTGATGGAAACTTTCCAACGAGAGGGTTGAACCACTCTTGTTGAAAGTGGTTGCCCGACTTAATTCAGGTAGTGTTGAGGTAAATTATAAATTATATCTTTTTACTATTTTTTTTTAAAGTTCTTTGATATTTAGAAACTTAGTTTGTTATTTAAGGATTACGGTTTAAATTTGATCAAATTCGGACAACCATATCATAAAGCTACTATGAAAACAATTGTTCAAACAAGAAAATGTATAAATATAAGTATATGAACTGAACATAGCTGCCACTTGAGTCAAACAAATCACATTTACACATAACATGTAAAATGACCACATGGGAGCGGTCATAGAATGTCTTTAACTATAAGTGATATCAGGGTAGTTGTGATCTCCCTTATCGCACTTAAGAATGCTTTTCCAAGTAAGGGATAAACAAGCCACTCCGTGGGATATTAGAAATAAGATTATAAGATTTTATGAGCTCGTTGCTCGTCAGAATATAGCTCTTGCGCCAGGGCCAACAGATGCGGTCTCTGCGTAGGCCACAGAAAGGAATAGAATACGAATCACACTAATGTTATAGTCGGATTCCATTAGCGCATTAAAACGTATTTAGCCTAATGCGCATTTATTTACACAGGGAATCCCATAAGGCTAAATGCCGCATTTATAATAAATGCGATATATAAATGCGATTAAAAACCATTCGCACCGAAAATTTTTAGAAAAAATACCGAAAAATACTTATTTTTAATGATATTTTGTTCGTACCACCTCTATGAAAGCTGTTTTCTATACGCAATGGAATCAGGCACATTTAAAAAGTGCACTAATGCACTAATGTAATTCTTTTCTGCATGGGAATGGCTTAATAAATCAGAATTACGCTTTTAATATTATTAAAATCGGAAAACGATATCATTTCGCTGCCACGGGAACGATCGAATAATTGAAATGAAAATTATCATAACTTTAATGTTTTAAAACATATACGCAAGTAAATCATAATTTTAATGTTTTCAAGAATGTTTATATACTTTATAGGGTCGGAAATGTCTCCTTCACTGCGTTGTAAACTATACAGTTCTGACAATAGATACACATTTGTTTCATTAAAAATTACCGCCAATAATAAAATTGTTGTCTTCTAGACAGCAAGCAGTATCAATGCAAGCTGTTGAAGAAGCAGTTCACTGTTGGCAATAGTTAGATAGTTATAATTTCTGAGAATGCAGAAATATTTAGCTTTTAAGCAATCTGCTTGAAAATTTCCCACAAGTGGTTTTCTATAGCTGGTAGTGTAGGTGTATAGGTTTAGGTATATGTATATAGTAGGTAAAGGTGTATGTAGTAAGAAGATAAGTTGGACGGACGACTATACCAAAAAGCTTTCAAAGGAAAAAACCGGTAAAACAAAATGTAATAAATTATAATTTAGCTGTTTTTTTTTTTACTTTTTCGATATATAGTACTTGACTTTTATGATAGAATTACGGTTTAAATTTGATTAAAATGTGACTATTAAAAATAAACAATTAGATACATATGGTATACAGTTCCCATGGAAATAATCGAAATATTAAATAAAATTTGTAAAAAAATTTTGATTTCTCTATTTTTTGGACGTCCGCCGTCCCTGTTCTAGTTTCGCAACGAATGTAAGAGGAGGCTGCGAGGGTTGTCATGGTACGAAAAAACAAGTATTTTCATGGGACCTATTTTAAGTAAGGCCTTATGTGTTTGTTCAAATATGGTAAGTTAATTAAAAAAAAAAGTTTTTGTTGTGAGACGTGATTTGTTGGGACCTTTTTCATCGCCTTTGGCAACTCTGGTTGCCTCATACTAATCAAACGCCTCTGTCAGTTGCCAGTAAGCTGATTTTGTTTAAGAACAAAAGAATCCAAACGGAAATTCAGTGGTTATTCGCCAAATGGTGAAGGGAAATTCGAAGTTCTTAAAAAGAAATCCGCAAATGTTTTCAAATTCAGTGAAAACTGGAAAATGGCATGTATAACATTGTTCTTTTTCAATTTTTGTTTAATATGATATAGCCGCAGATTGACTTACTTAAAAGTTTGTTAAGAAACGAATGAGGCTACTTTTCTCATTTGGAGAAGTTAACGTTGCATAGGCAAAAATTTCCTCCTATAAGTATCCACCACCAATTTGATGGGGAAAAACCAATAAAAAATGGTTTCAGGTTAAAGGAAGAAACACATTCTCATTAAATAGTTGTAAAATAATAATTATTGCTTAAATTTAAATTTAAAACTAATCTTAATTTAAGCAATTTTATTTGAAATCAGATACATTGCAAAAGATGAGTAAGATGTAAGCAAATATGTCAAAACAACGAAGTTGTAAAAATATTAATGTTCTATAGGGCCAGATAATTTTCTCGTTAATTTTTACATCCTTAAAAATGTTTTTTTTTTTTAATTTCAGTCAGAAGGATAACAGCAGCATTAGGAGAGTCAATCTAGCCATGTCCGATCTTTTGTCCACTCGTTTCTACGCAAACTAGCCCATCAGTTTTAAAACTTTTAGTAGAATTTGAAACGAGGCGGATCGGACGGACTATATCAAACAGCTCCCATGAGAACAATCGGGAAAATATATGAACAAATTATAATTTGGCTGTTTTTCAATTAATCTGAATATACTTCGATTCAAAGTAATGGTTTATTGTTTCAGAATTACGGTTCTACGATATCAAAAAGCTGCTTGTAAAACATAAAAGAATAAAAATCTAAATATTGTTGTTTCAAAAAAATTTTAATTTATCGAATAGTTGCAAGGGTATATAATCTTGGACTTGCCGAAGTTTGCTTCCTTTCTTGTCAGTTAAGCTTTACAGTCTTGCCAAACATAGTTTGTTCAAACAAAATAAGTACTAAAGAAGAGGTAAAAGTTTTTTTTGTAAACCATGTTCGCAATATTTTGGTACTTTGCATATATTTCAAACAAAAGTTTATGATATTAAACAAAACAACTCTTAAAAAATATTCGAACCTTCGACATTTAAAATATTTTATACCATATTTTGTGACGAAAAATGAATTCCTTTTTAGTTTCCGGAATTTCACCAGTCTTGGGGTGTTTCGAGATACTTGTAGCTAGGTATGTACCTATATCTTATACCTTACATACATTAAAAAAATATTTTTCTTCAATTCATATAAAAAAAAATTTCATACATTAAAAAAAATTTCCAAAATAAGGGAAATATTTTTTTATGGTTTCTAAATTAAAAAAAAAAATTAGAAAACTATTTCTCAGCTACAGAAATTTATGATTCATTTTCTTAAATTTAAGGTGTTTTATTTCTAAGCTATCTCTTCCTAATTTTCTATATATATAGGTAAAATAGCCTTTGCTTTTAGAAAATAAATACACTAGCCTGTTCTAAAATTAAGAAAAACGCCTTTAAGTTTAGATACATTGTTACATATATAGAAATCAACTTTACCTTAACACCTTTAAAATAGTCCCTATTATTCATGGCTATTTTTTATGGCTAAAATAAGAAAAGAATGGGGACAACACCCCGGCAAGTCTGGAACTACCAGCAGCTACGATCAGGCTAGCATCGGTCTACAGGACCTTCGAAAAGGGGGACTCTCCAGGCGAGCTAGTGAGGCGCTCAAAGTAGGCCTGGTAATCGCTCTCGACGCACAGTGGGCAAGCCCTACCATCAACAACAGGTCTCCTTGAGTCTCTTTTTAATTTCATCCTTAGCTCAAATTTATACATATGTAACAGGGGTAACACCCCCACCTTTATCACATAAACTAGTCAAACGGTCAACGGTACTGGGCTGACTTTTAAATACTTAACATGTCTTTAAAAGCAAAAGGCACATAAGAAATCGAATATACTCAGGCCTGTTCCAGTTTTCCCTGTGAAGTGAATTCGTTAACATTGGCGGATTTCCCTTTAACATAATCAAAGTTCCCTTGCTTGCTAGCACATTTCCTAGGGAAATTACTATTTGGGGGGAAATAAAACAGCTGACTGCCGCTACTGATCTTAGCAAAAACCTTAGGCAAATAAGTTTTCCAGGCAAATCTCTGATCAACATTTGGCCCGCTGCTGTTCCTAATCTTTCTTGCATTATTTGTGCACATATTTAATGTCTAAATCAGTCAAAAATCATTGGTAGCCAAAAATAACAAATTCTACTTATTTTAACGGCAGTGATGGAAACTGACCAACAGAAGTGTTGAACAACTCATGTGAATTAGCTGCTTGGC